TTTATTTAAAATGTCCTTTGATTAATAAAAAAAATCCTTTATAAATTAATGGACCTTTCAATTTTGGGTATTAGTTTTAAAAATTTATACCCAACCTTATTTTTATTTTTTGTTTTTATTTATTTATTTTTTACTTAGGGAAATTATTGGAGATAGAAAGAATAGTACCTGAAAATAGAATTTAAAACTTTCACGTCTAAGCACGTTCTCATAAAAAGGATGGTATTAAGTCACATAGTGTCAGGCTTATTTATTAACTTTAATTGTTCAAATTTTGAAAACAAAAACCAAAAGAAAAACAAAATCATTGACCATTCTTGTTACAAACTTCTTTTTTTTTTTTTCAGAGGACATCTTATCTTACAGCCTAATGCAGCCTAAGGACAACAATAACAAACAAGCCTTTCTCTTTGAGGTTTAAGTTTAAATTTTGGGCAGTGCTAATGGCAGTAGCCGTTTTTGTGTTAATGGAAAGAGAACCTCGAGGCACAATTTCAACAACTGCATTTGGCACGAAATGCCCAACAATCCCTAAAAACTGCCTCTTAGGTTGAGATGCATCACGAGAGACAACAGCAAATTAAATCAAGATCATTTCATTGGCTTAAAGCAAAAGGATGACCAGAACTATCACTAGAGGTTTGGTGTACTAATCCTAGAAAAGCATGACATAATTGATTGCCTATCCCTGAGCTTGAGCAACTTTCTCTGTTTGGTGAATTAGTGCTTAGAACCGTTCACATGCCAAGAGATTTATGATACAATATGATGGCCAAAAAAAATGATACCTCCCCCCAATTCTCTAAATTCTGTGTTGCCTAATTCTATGATTGTCTGGTAGTCTGCGAGTGACCCTTGTTCATAACCACCTTTGGTTGTTTTCCAACAGAACATGGCTCGCGACAGTAAAGGAAATAACTCAATGAAAAACCAAATAAGAGACACCTCTTCCAATAATGTACCAAATAGGAGACATCGTTAACAATAATTTCTTAATTTCTTTAAGTAATTAGGAGAT